TTTCTGTGATTTAGGAGTGTAGCCCATCCTACATCTGCAACACTGATGGTTGTCATGGCAGAAGAAGTAGCAAAAATGGGCAACTATGTGTTGCCTTTTAAATTTCTATCCAGTAGTAACCAACATCATTTCCATTCACATGCATTGGCTGAAGCAAGTCACAAGGGTAAGCCTGAGTCAGTGGCATGAGGAAGTAAACTCTTCCTTTAAGGAAGGATAACAAATATTTTTGAATAATAATACAGTCTATTTGTAAACTTTCTGATTACAAATATTTGCTTTCCTTCCTCTTGTATATGGAGAATACATTCATCCCCTTATCACAAGTGACAATCCAAAGTTCCATATAATCAGGGCATCAGGCTCAAAGTCCAGGATTTTGTGATAAGTTTTCTTTTTACTTTCTTCTTCTTCTTCTTTTTTTTTTTAGACACAGAATTTCACTCTGTCAGCCAGGCTGAAGTACAGTGGCACAATCATAGCTCACTGCGGTCTTGAACTCCTGGGCTCAAGCAATCCTCCTACTTCAACCTCCCAAGTAGCTGGGACTACAGGCAAGTGCCATCACACATGGCTAATTTTTAACTTTTTGTAGAAACAGGGTCTCACTATGTTGCCCAGGCTGGTCTTAAAGTCTTGGCCTCAAGCAATCCTACCACCTCTGTGATCATCTTTATATCAGGTCTTACTGTGGCTTCGAAGAAGGCAAGTCTTAGTTCACCAGCTGCCACTCCACAAATGTGCTATGTAATGGTAGGACAGGGATAGGACAACCACAATAAACACTCCATCTGGAAAGGGGAAGGATGGGAGACACATGGCAGTCATTGGCCTACAGCAACTCTGAATTCTCTCTGGGTAGGTGTTAAGGGGGCCTTTTCTAGGACCTTTTCTAGGACCCTAGGAAAAGGGTCCTTGATTAGGCCTGGAATCTGTTCCACTGAGAGTATCTTTCTACTACATAGTCTTTTGCTCCACTTTCTGAGACTTCTTTTTCCATTATTCTTGGCTACTTGCAAGATGGCATTGAAGAATGTGGTTTCCTTGGTAGATAAGTATGTTTCCCAGACTGCTTCTTACCTATGTTTGAGTTTAAGCCCAACGGTTGCTTTAAGTCTTAAATATTCAGTCTCTTTTAACCAAGCCTGGAGGTTCTTTGGGAAGTACAAAATCTCAAAAGGATTTTTACTTGAGCCGGCTCCATGCACCAACAGACACACCCACAGTTCATTTAGAGATGTATCCTCTCTCTAGACATCACTGCAGGCAACTTGAGGTCATCAGGAGTTTCTGGGAAAACCACAACCTTTTACTCTCTTTTTTACCTGCCTCTTTCCAGAACTATGCTGCCCAACTGTAAAGATTTTTGGGTGCCATCTTAATTCCATCTGATGTGTTAATAATAGGTATTAAGGCCACACCTTGATTTATGTGTTTTAATTGGTCTTTGTTGTTCACATGCCTTTTCAGATTTTTCTTTTACTGGTTGGAGAATCATTGATAACTTCAAATGTACAAGACTCCAGCTTTCAGGAATCTCATTATTCCCTTTCATTTCTACTTATACACAGGCCAATTCTTTTCTGAGTGTGTCTCTTTCTTAGAGTGCCTTGTTACATGTAGACAATAGCAATCAAAGCACACTCTGGCATCCTGTTGGTTCACCTCTGCCTAAAGCTACAAACTCATCAGGGATAGTATTTGCCTTACAAGTTATCACAGGTAACAGTTTTATCAAACATTATAACACTTACTAAATACCATCCTCCAGGCTCCAATAAACATCTCTTCACTGTCTACCCTGGCCCCAGAGCCCAATCCACATGTTTTAGGATTGTTATAGCAGCCTTATATATATAGCACCAGTCCCTGTAGATATCATGACAGGCCAGCTTATGCTATCATAATAAGTCATTCCAAAATCCTACTACCTTACAGCCAGAATAGTTTATTTCTCATCCTCACTATATTCTGTCACAGGTTGGTCCACCATTCATGATGCAGAATGATGGAGCAGCCTCTATCAAAAAATTTGCCAGCCATTGTAATAGACAGACAAGAGCTCAAGAGGACTCACATGCAATTTCTTAAAGTCTCAGGAGGGACAAATCATTTACTCACATTTCATAAGCAAACCACATAGCCATACCTGGTGCCTGATGGGTAGGGAAGAACCATCTTCCCTGGATGTGTGCCAGATATAATACTGTTTTCCACACTTGCCTATACTTTTTTGTATATTCCTTGGGATTTTCTACATAGACAATCATGTCATCTGCAAATAGAGACAGTTTTATTTTTTTAAACAGGGAATATCTCAGAGAAGAACCCAAGAAAGTCTTAAGCAGAAGAACTAACATATTCCACAGTGAAAAATTCTTTTAAGTTTTAGTCTGAAAATGTTGAGTTGAATGCACAGCTCTTAAAAAAGGTTTTTTATTTGTATTTTATAAAACTTTTAGGAAACCATCTAATGAGGTAAAGATATGATTACTCTGGAAAAAGAGGCCTGTCTCCAATCTCACAATGCGGAACAGCTATGTTTTTTGTGTGCGTGTGGTTACTAGAGCTGAGTGAGCAGCTCTGAGGTCTGGTCTTGCCTGATGCGCACTCCCTGGACAGGTCCCAGCTCTGTGGGTCACAGGTGTTCATCTTTCAAATTGTGGCTTAATGGATGATTGATTTCTTCTGAACCCCATTTATACAATTTTAAAGGTTTTCAAGGAAATTATTATTCTTTGAAAATGTTACTATTAATAAATATTTCAGAATATAATATCAAATTGCCTTTTTGCTTTTCGTGTTTCAAACAATAAAGCACTGACACAAAATAAACATTTTTAAGAGTGTACTTGATCTTGGTGGTTTATTTTATTTTATTTTATTTTACCATGTGCTATTTTAGTCTTCTGTTTGGAATCTAAAAATCATTTCCACAGCAACTAATTACAGTATAAGTCACAAACAATGGATTACTACTGCTGGTGGGGAATTAGAAACAAATATCATGAAAATATTAAAAGCTTTGTAGTTCTCCCAAGAAAAAATGCAAGCTAATAAAATGCAGAAGAGACAGTATTTGGTATAGATGTGAACTTCTCAAGTTAGCTTTATGATTGGCTTGACATGAATCTGAAGAGAATTATTCTTCACCTTTTTTTGTAAAATATCAGTCAAGCATATTTGTGAGGGTCTATTTCTGGCTTTTCTGTTTCACTGATCTAGTTAGTATCTGTCTCTCTCCCAACAACACACCCTCTTGATTACTATATATTAAGTCTTCATATCAGGTGGAGTGATTCCTCCCCCTTTATTCTTCTTTGTCAAGATTGTTTTAGCTATTCTAGGGCCTGTGGCTTTTCATATGCATTTTATTTATTTATTTATTTTTATTACTGGAGTTGCTCACTCTGTAACATATGCATTTTAGAATAAGCTTGTCTATGTTTACAAAAACCTTGCTTAGATCTTAATAGGGATTACATCAGAAACCTATGGATCAATTTAGGAGAGTTGACATTTTTTGGATGTTGAGTCTTCCATATCATGAACATGTCTCTTAGTTTATTATTATTAGATCTTTGATTCCCTTAATTAGCATTTTGTACTTTTAGGAATACAGATTTTATACATATTTTAAAAACTGAATATTTAAGTATTTCATTATCTTTGAATATTAATGGTATGATGTTTTTAATTTCAATTTTTGCATATTCATTGTCAGTTTATAGAAATGAAATTAATTTTTGTGTATTGATTTTGGGTCTTCAGACTTGGCTGAGCATACTCATTAGTGCTAAGAGTTAAAAAGTTTTTTTCTTTGTACATTCCTTGGAATTTTCTACATAGACAATCTTGTCATCTTCAAATAGGGACATTTTTATTTCTTCCTTTTTAATCTACATGCCATTCAGTTCTTTTTCTTATCTTATGCAGTGGCTAGAACTCCAGTATACAATATTAATAAGGTGTTCCTGATCCAAGGGGGAAAACATTTAGCCTTTCACCATTAAAATATGCTATTGGCTTTAGTTGTTTGTTTTTTTTTAACAGATGTTCAAATTGAGGTCATTCTACACTATTTCTAACTTGCTGAGAATTTTTTATCATGAATGGGTGTTAGATTTTGTCAAATGCTTTGTCCACACCAATTAATATACTAGTTTTATTCTTCAGATTGATGATATGGTAGATTACATTGATAGATTTGTTTTTTTGTGTGTGTGTCTCTAAACATTTTATTGCTTCTTTTTATTTTATAACAAGTTCATTAAAATAAGATATAATTTTTATCTAATATTGTACAAAATTTTTGTGTTCTGAACACAAATGTGACTATCAATGAGTTCATTGAGAATTACATAAATAGGCAATTGGGGGTTTAAAGGCTTTCTATGATACAGAAATCCTTGAGAGATATTAAAGAGATTTTTTAAATTGACAGATGAAATTATATTTATTATGTACAACATGCTATTTTGCAGTACGTATACATTGTGGAATGACTAAATCTAATTCCAGCCTTTTGGGAGCCAATCGTGACCACAGTTTGAAGAGTTCTGTAGGGATTTTTAAATGTTTGAATTATTGGTTGAATTTCTTGGATAAGCTGAGACACATAACCATTTTTTCCATTTAAAATAATGGAACATAGGATCCTGCAATCCCCAAACCTGCGAACACTCTTTCGGGAACAGGTTAGACATGGGTAACAAAGAATACCTGTGCAGGAAAGTGCTTTATAAACTCTACTATAGAAATGTAACCTATTACCACTTTCAGGTAAAACCAGAGAGTAAATTTCCTGTTGCTGGAAGAGTCCTCTGGGGACACACCTAGTCCAGGCTCCCTGGTGACTGGATGAGGACACAGACTGAGGCCATAGGCAGGAAACACAGAATCAGTCAGAGCTAGTGACCAAGTCAAGGACAGCACAGGGCTCTTTTTCTTCCTCTATGCAATTTTATCTTTTAAAACATTGACAGTTTTCTGGTGCTGGGAGCAAGATGCCTTTTAAAACTTTTAAGTTAATGGGTGATTACAGTAAAACTACTTTTTACCTAGTCCTGAATGTGGCATGTTGTAGGAGATGTAGTAGTTGCTGGTGAAACTAGAAATCTGAAGTTAAACTTTCAAAGTTCATCTTGGTCACTCCTCTCGTGAAGAAACACATCGACTTAGAATCACCTCCTGAACTTTAATTCTTTTCATACATTCTGGCGACTCCATTTTTGTCAGTTATGGTAGAGGGTTTAATCAAATAGCACAGCATAAGTTCCTTAGAGACATTAACTGAAACTCTGCTCAAGGCAGCCAGTGACTTCCAACTGAAAGGTCTGTGGAGAGAGCCTTCAAAATGGTCATCAACTAGCTCAATAATAACAGAATAATTTGCATGGTAAAATGGAAGGCCTTTCCGACACAGCAATAAATCTGTCCTATACTTGAGTCCCACTTTGGGCACCCAGCCCTTGCTTCGGAAGTAGTGGTAGGCCATGTAGGTCATCCTGAACATGGGCTAAACTATAGAGAAAGCTTTCCAGAGCTTCACTATCGTTAAAGGCTCCTTTTCATAGTAGATACTTAGACATCCCAAGGCATAGACCAGGAAGAAGGCCTCTTCTAGGCTGAGTTGCAAATACTCAAAGATCCTATATGGATTTCTTTTGCATATTAGTTTCTGTCTTTATACCAATTCCTCATTTGGGGCATCCTCACTCTCGTTCCTGTCACACACCACTTCCTCCACAAGCACATACTCGTGGTTAGGCCCTCTCTCCCCCGCACAGAGGACACACGCGTGTTTGCCACCATGCTCAGGGTGAGGGCCACGCTGGAGGATGACAGCACCTGCCTTGCAGCAACAGACTTGGGGTGGAGGTGCAGCATCGTCTGCCATGCGGTCATGGTAGCTGCCTGTCGTTGGCAGGTCCCGCCCAGAGCCCTCCTGTGGGCAGTCTGATGGCTCACTCAGATCCTCTATAGCATCTGACTGTCCAGAGTCTCCATTCATCACACAAAGTTTCTCTCTCCCTGCTGTGCCTTCCATGGTGGAAACCATTTCAGAGTTGAGCTCATCAGGCAATTGAACCTCTTCATTTCTATTTATATGAGGATACTCAAGTGGTTTTATGTAATCCTCAAGGATTCTGTGCACTGTACTCTCATTCTGCCCCTGTCTACGCATGAGCTTTGCTGCCCATTCTACACGATGCTGATACTTCTCTGACGTGATGATAGGCACGTTTGTCTTCGTATCTTTCCATTTAGCAACCAGCTTAGGATCTGAAATTGTGAAGTTTGGACAGCTTCTTGAAAGAATACCTTTTCCAAAATAACCTTTCCCATAGAGCTGTTCGATGTCCTCTGCATTCTTCACAATCACATTGTTGTTAATCATTTCGACATGGAATATTCTGAATTCTTTCCTAGGACTTTGGTCCTGATCAAAAGGGATTGGCCATGGAGACTCATAATTCCATACACTCTTCTTTTTCCTTTTTGGGGCGTGGAAAACAGCTTCTGCCATTTTTCAGGGGGAACTCTTCAATGAGGAACTAGATCCAGGTTAGAGAGATTTGTAAAGGGCCCCAAGAGGGGTAACACTGGATGACCCAGTGTCTGTTGAACTCCAAAGCCCATGCCCTTCTCTCTGGGTTCTGCTTTAATTACAGGCAGCATCTGTCCACTTCTGTGACAGCTATTTCTGCAGCAAGGAATACAATGCCCACATGAAAGCCGTTGACTGTGCGGATCAATTCCTTTCGTGTTGTTCCATTCTTCCTTGGCCCCACACGCTCGCCATTACCCCAGCAACGCCAGCCAGGGGGCAGATATCGCTGCCATCAAGCAGTGTGGCCGAAAAGCCAGCTGAGCTGATAGATTTTTGAATGTCAAACCAGCCTTGCATTCCGAGAATAAATCCCACTTGGACATAGTATATAATTATTTTTATACATTGTTGGATTTGGTTTGCTAATATTCTGTTGAAGATTTCTGCATCTAAATTCATGAGTGATATTGGTCTCCAGGTTTTTTGCTTCTTTGTTAGTTTCATTTTATTTTTTTACTCTCTGTCTGATTTTGGTATCAGGGTTAATACTAACTTCATAGAATGAATTGGAATGTAACCTATTTTTGGAAGAGGTTGCATAAAATTGGTGTTAATTATTCTTTAGATGTTTGGTAAAATCCTCCAGTGAAGCCATCTGGGACTGAGAATTTCTTTTTCAGGAACTTTTAAGTTAAAAACTCAAATTCTTTAATAGTTATAGAAATATTCATGTTATCTATTTCATCTTAATTAGGTTTTGATAGTTTGTAGTTTTCAAGAAATAGGTCCATTTCTTCTAACTTGTTCAATTTTTGAAATAAAAAGTTTTTTATAGTATTCCCTTATTATCCTTTTGATGTCTGTAGGATCTTTTTGGTATTCCCTACTGCATTCCTAATATTGATGATTTATGTCATTTCTATTTTCATTTTTTGTGTTTATCCATTTTATTTATTTTTCAAAGAATCAGCTTCTTTCATTAATCTTCTCTGTTGTTTTCCTATTTTCACTTTCACTGATTTCTGCTCTTATCTTTATTATTTCATCCTTTCTGCTTAGTTTGGGTTTATCATGCTTTTCCTTTTCAAGTTTCTTAGGACAGAAACTTAGATTACTGATTTAAGATCTTTTTTGGTTTCTAATGTAAGCATTTAGTGCTATACATTTACGTCAGTACTGTATTAGCTGTACTCTTTGCCGAGTACTTTGACAAAAATGTTTTGCTGTAACTTTGATAACGTACTTGGTTAGCAACAGCCAAAGTAGTTTTGGACCCACTGTACAAAAATAATACACTTGTGATCTATGCACAAACACTAACCTTGAATCACAGAGAGATTCTCTCATATACTAAAAGAGAAAATCCAGGACATTTATTCCATCTAAGCACTAAGATGGAAAGCTCAAGAATTAACCAAAAAAGCAAAATATTCTTTCTGCCTAAACAAAAAACATTTTCTATCACTTTTTATACCTCTGCAGAGAGAAAAGGGGTGTTATTAAATCTATTACATACTTTAACAATTCTATATTACTTATATCCTAACTCAAGGGAAAGTGAAAGTGAAAAAGAAGGACACCTTCTGGGAGGAAGTACATAGAGAAAGGTGGGCAAGCAAAACACCCCGGGGTGCACTTGTGTTCAAGGTGTAGAGGAAGAGAAGAGACAAAGATAAAGAACAAATGTTAAGCACATGAAAAGGTGCTCAACATCATACGCATTATGATGTTTTGGAAATGGAAACCAAAACTACAATGAGATACCACTTCATACTCACTATGGTAACTAGAATCAAAAACACAGATAAAAAGTATTGGTGAGAATGTGGAGAAACTGAAAGCCCATACACTGCTTGTGGGAGTATAAAATGGTGCAGCTATTTTGGAAAATTGTTTAGCAGTTTCTCAAAAAGTTAAACATAGTTGTTACTAAATTGTACATTTTAAATGGTTGAGATGGTAAATTTTATGTGATGGATTTTTTTTTTACCACAATAGAAAAAGCTAAGCATAGCATTACTTTATGACCCAGCAATTCTACTCCTAAGTATTAATATATAATCAAGAGAAATTAAAACATATGTCCACACAAAAATTTGTACACAAATGTTCATGTTCATAATAACCAAAAAGTGGAAACAACCCTAATGTCCATCAAAGGACATTTGATGAATGGATAAATACATGGAATATTATTTGCTTACTTTTATTGAAATATATAGAATATATTATTCCATATAATAGAATATCTTTCAGTCATAAAAAAGGAATAAAGTACTATTACCACTTATGACATGGATAAACCTTGAAGATGTTTGCTCAGTAAAAGAAGCCAGACATAAAAGGCCCCAAGTCACATGATTCCATTAATATGAAATGTCCAGAATAGGCAAACCAGAGACAGAAAGTAGATTAGTGGTTTCTAGGGACTGGGAGGTGGGGAGAGTAGGGAGTAATGGTTAAGGGATGTAGGGTTTCTTTTGGGAGTGATGGAAATATTTTGGAATTAGATAGTGTTGTTGGTTACACAAACTTGTGAATGTCTAAAAAGCATGAAATTTTAATTTTAAAAGGGTGAATTTTATCCTTTGTGAATTGTATCTTGGTTTAAAAAATGGTGAAACCTAGAAGGGTATCTCCACAGAAACACTGGGCACAGAGACAAAAAGAAAGCTCTGGGTGGTGCCTGAGGTGGGGGTCGGTGGTGCTGTACATCAGCAAAGACCCTGGAGAGCCTTTGAATCTCACCTGCTGGGGGCAGGGTTTTTACCTACAGGTGCTGGCCTTGGACCTCAAAGCCAACCAACACTGAAGAAAGGCAATCTCTGTCTTAGATGTAAGGAGTTCTAGGCGTCAAATGAAAATAAAAGCATAAGTACATAAAATGAAAGTTTATTTAAAAAGCAAGAATGTGTTGGCAGTGAGAGAGCAGAGGGGATAAGCATAGAAGTTTGTACTGCACCTAAACAACAAATGAGGTCTTCAGCCAGGCTGAAGATAGGATTTCCTTCTAGGGTTAACTTTGGGGCAACCATAAGTAGTTTTTTTTTCCCCAGTAGAGGGGAAGGAGAAAATCAACAAAGATATATTAACAATGCTAGAGTAAAAATGAAAAATAAAAGGAATATGGATGAAGGCTACCATAGAAGGCTGTGCTAGTTGTGTACTGCACAACTCTAGGAGGAGCAATTCACACTAATGTCCAAACGTGTAGCATCACCTAAAGGTGTGCAGTGCACAATCCTGATCTTGGTGATAGAGGAGAACTTCCTTCTGAGGCAGGAGCGTTTGAAGAGTGGGAGGAAGGCATAGAGAGACACTGAGGCAGAATGGGAGAGAGCTCAGGAGTTCAGGTCTGAGGCCCTCTACTTGTCATTTAAGTAAGAGGGGAGGTACTCTTTTAAACTGAGAGAAGGGTAGACATTTGCAGGAGATCAAAAAGTCTGGAGCAGAAAGAAAGATGTGGTGGAGGAAGATGGCAGAGGAGAAACACTGCCTAACAGAGTGTCTCTGCAGAAAAGACAGAATCTAGGAGAAATTTGAAGAAAGAAGCAAGTAGACGAGCATACATCGGACGAGAGTTGGAAGGAGGGGTACCTGAGACCACAGGACACTCCATGGAAGGAGGTTGCAGAAGTGAACTGGAAGCAGAGACCTCCCGAGTAGCCTGGAGAACAGCGGCAAGGGTAGGTGGCGTGGTTAACTACCCCTTCCCTTGCATCTGGGACTACTGGTGGGCTCCTCAGTGGTTGCAGAGACCTGCTGACACTAGCCCAGAGATGGCCACCACCAGTGGGTGGTAAGCCTGTAGTGGATGCGGCACCAGGCTCCCAACTCCCTCCGGGCACCAACCTGTGCACAGACCCGAGCCACATGGAAAGCACCATATTGCTTCACTCTTCCCTCCCCCGTCCCTATCCGCGGCTACCAAGAGAGACAATATAGTCACCAGCCGAAGGCATCTCCAGGGACGGGATTTCCATTTGGGGACCATACAGCTGACGGAGGGGTACTCAGATGGTGACCTCCCTATCCGCCAGCCCTCCCAGGTGATGCTGGCCTGGTGATTCCAGGAGAATAGGGAAGACCATGAGGCTGAGAGACATCGACCCAGCTTGGGCTCCCCACGGGTGAATTGGGACTGGCATTCCTCTACCTGGTGGGGTTAGGGATTGAACTCCGGGGCCCAGAGGTCAGACCTGCAGACGAGATACCGTGCACCCAGGTCTCGCATTGCCCAGGGCACAGAAGGGATCTTCGTGAACAACCTACTGAGGTGTGTGTGCCTTCAGGGGCAAATCAGCGTCCTTGAGGGCAACCCTCCTTCCAAGGGGGGGCTGTGTGCCCAGCCCAGGTGGCGATCCTGCACAGGGAACCTCCCAGCCGACATCACAGCCAGGGGAGGCCTGGTGGTGTGAGGTCTGGCCTGCTGGCACAGGCCCAGGAGTAGCCTCGGAGTTGGGAGGGTGGAAAGGAGTGAAGCCTGCTGCAGACTGCGGGTCTCAGACGGCCCCACCCCACACGTAGACTTTCTGACTGAGTGAGGCCATCCCAGCCTCTCCCTGACAGCTTTTCCCGGAAGCGGAGAACAGAACTTTGACCCCTGCTAATAGCATTTGTGGTACCTGAGGGCAGGCTTACCCAACCCAGCTCTGCCCAAACTCACTCCCAGACCAGCCCTCACTGAGAGGGAGAAAAGTACACACCTGGAAGTCCCAGGGCCCCACCCACCACCTGAGGCACTAAAGTGCCTCTCCAGAGGAACAAGAGCTGGATACAAGACCCAAAAACAACAGTGTAGCCTGCTCCTCCGAGCAAGCGCCACCTACTGACAGGGAGGACATTCTGCACACCCTTTTCACAGCACCTACAGACTCATCATACAGGGTGTGGTCGAATCTCACCCATAGACACCACCTACCGGCTCAGTGACTAAACAGGGCATGTCATTATCCAAATGAAAACCTAAAGGCGAGAAGCAACAACTGATCCAGATGGGAAGAAATCAGTGAAAGAACTCTGTAAATATGAGGAACCAAATGGAAAGCACAACCCCAAAGAGGAGCACAAGCCCCTTAGAAATGGACACCAACCAAAATCAGACCACTAAAATGAAAGAACAGGAATTTCAAATGTGGATAGTAAGAAAATTCAACGACTTGCAGGAACAACTGGATAACCAACACGAAGAAAACACAAAAGGATTCTAGGACCTGAAACAAAAATTCACTAAAGAAAATCAAACAATGAAGAAAAATCTAACCAAACTCCTGAAAATGAAGAATCAATTC